ACAGTGTAGGATGGGAAAATAAGGTGCGAGATGAAGTTGTGTGGAAAGCGAAGGAAGGAGTGGATGGAATGGAAGAAGAGCTGGATGAAAAGGAGGAGGAGGACGATGAGGATAAAAAGTGAGGCAAGAGAGCGGGAGGTGGAGGCTTTGGCAGAAGATGTTGAGAATGGAGAGACAAGAGGTGTAAGATGGTTGAAAGATAGATTACTGAGGATCGCTAATGACGTAGAGGTAGAAAATGCGAGTGAAAATGAAGGTATTGAAAAGGACACTGAGATAAAGGAGAAGAAGGTAGCTACTGCATTTATAAAGAAGGGGCAGAAAATGTCGTGATGGCCTAATGACATTAATTTGGAGGTGAATAAGAAGAGCAGGAAGTGTAGCACTAAAGACGGGAGGACGAGGAAGAGGGATGTGAGGCCGAATGGAGGCACGGATTGCAGTGCATGTAGTGAACTTCCTCAGCCACTCTAGCCACCACATGCTTTCTACAATTAAGTTGCGAACTATATTGAGGCTAAGCAGATGTTCGGCGCTCTTCCATTTTCACTACTGTTATTCAGCTTACAGCGTAGAATTCTGTGACAAGGCCTGTATTTTTCTCGATTATGTTAATGGAATACCAACTAGTGGCGTGCAGCAATGTGGAGACTTCTGAATGGACTTTGACGTGATGTGGGTTTGAAAGTGAGAGGGAAGATGAAAAACGGGGCGATGTTCAGATTGCTACAGCAGTTGGCGCTGTTTTCAATCAGCATCCTACCAGCCTTATAATGTGCTTAAGATATGAGGTGGACGAGGAGGAGGTAAAGGAAAGAAGAGAATGAAGGGAGAGAAGAAGTTGTGCTTGCGCCACAATACTAATAATGATCTCGTGCTAAAGCACCTGAGTAAAAGCGATGTGTCCAGACTGCCTTTCTGTGGTGCGGATCGTTGTTTTGTTTACGTATTATTGAGAAAGGATTTTTATTAACTACTAAGTGTTAAGTCTCACCGTTTTTGTTTGAAGCATTTGCCATTGGATTGGTGTCAGACGTTTACCCACTGCTTGTCAAGAAAGATTTTACTAAATCGTCAGCGTTTAGTACCCACATTTTTGGTTAAGGTGCAAAAAAAGTTGAGTAAGCTTTATCAGTTGTTAGCGATCCGCTTTTGACTGATTTGCATAGGGAAGGTTTTGGAACTGCGGCCTTTTCCGCTCTCCATCACCATTTGTGCATCTTGGTTTTCATTTACCGAATTATTTATTAAAACATGCATTGGAACTTTGCCACCTTTTCTTTTGTTAGTGCATGGCAGATTTGGATGATGTCACTTTGTATTGGTTCTCGACATCTTCATTCGGTGCCACAAGAAAGCATCCACGAGCCAACCGCGCCAGTCGACAGACAACGCGAGAGCAAGGAACCGTACCTCATCCTCTCGGCAGCTTCAACTGGATCTGGAGTTCCGTTCGGTCTGACA